CTTATTAGTTCCCTTTCCCTTGGAGACAGTCCTTATCTGAAGAGCCTTCTCCCTTTGTCTGCTTTCCTCAAGTGAGAGGATTACACATGGAGGGTTAAGGCCACACATTCTGGGATCAGACACTCCAACTGTGTATAAGTCTGTTTCTGTCATTTATCAGCTGTGTGTGACTGACCAAGGTATTTAACATCTCTGAACCTCAGTTTCTTCATTTGTGAGAGTGATAATAATTCTATCACAGAGGATTAAAAAGATTATTCTTGTCCTGGGCACAGTGGTGCTTACCTGTAATCCCAGCAGCTCAGGAGGATGGGGCAGGAACACCACAAGTTCAAAGCCAGCCTAAGTAACTTGGTGAGATGTTGTCTCAAAATAAAAAAGGGCTGGGGATATTGCTCAGTGATTAAGCACCCCTGGGCTCAATTCCTAGCACMAATAATAATAATCCTTGTCAAGAGCTTAGAACACTGGCTGGCACAGAGTAACTCTCAGGTGTGTTTTGTTTTKTGGTACCAGGCCTCTGAGATTACAGGCATGAGCCATTGTGCTTGGTATACGATGGTTTTTATGTAATCCATGTAGCTGTTGAAGCTCCTCCACTCCCCTCAGAACTGAGGGTTGAGTGCAGGGGTGCTATACCAATGAGACACACCCCCAAGCCCCTTTTATTTTTTGAGATAGGGCCTAGCTGAGTTGCCCAGGCTGGCCTTGACCTTGTGCTCCTCCTGCCTCAGCCTCCCAGGTCACTGGGGGCTATCCTTGAGTTGTCATCCTCAGTCCTTATTGACTAGTTATCTGGTGCCCCTATGTCATCGGACGTCTGCACTGTTTCTTCATATATTTATGTTCTTTTCTGTCCCCTGCATGTGGTCTCAGGCTACAGCAGGAAATCAGATTGGTTTTGCGTTTGCATTTTGGCCTGCATGTGATATAGTGCTGCAGTCATATTAAGTACAGTTCAATAATATTTGACTGGGTTTTAGGAATTTATGCATTTTCTTGATGAGTGAGATTTTTCTGCATTTAAGTGATGTTATAAAAAAAAAAAACAACTCATTCACATGTGTTTGCCATAATGGTACATAATGAATGGTAAGCTCTTGTCTCTTCAAAAAAGCCACAGAGCTGGTTGGGGTGGCATGTGTTTAGTCTCAGCTATTTGGGAGGCTGAGGCAGGAGGTTGGCTTGAGTTCAGAAGCTTGGGAACCAGCCTGAGCAACATAGTTTGACCTCTCCCTCCTGAGGCTCTGCCCACAATGGCACCTCACTCCCAGATTGGGACGAACTCTGGTTGACCTCCTAGGGGCAGGGCAGCATCAAGATGCTTGCTTTCAGAGATGGGACCTCCATCTCTGGAAGAGCTCTTCTGGGTCCGTTTTCTTGTCTGCGAGCATTTGCCATGCAGCTTGCATTTTCCTGCCTCTTCTTCCCAGTTCCTCTCTTCTCCATCCTCCATAAGCATCAGTCATCCTTTGTATKTTGAGGGCAGCTGGGAGCAGATTTAATTTTTTTTTTAGGTTGAAAGCTCATTTCTGCTTTACTTAGGGAGGCCACATGGGAGGTTTTAAAAATGAGCATCTTCCATTTTCATAACGACCAGCAGCAGCTGCTCCTGTCCGTGAAGGAGCAGGTAAGTGGTAGGTGCCATGTCCCTCTGATCATCAAGGAGGAGGAAAGCTGAGGAACAGGTGGAGCCGAGGGATGTGTGAAACATGCTGTCTGATGGCAGCAGTGTGTGCAGAGTTGACTCTGATCCAGAGCAGTCAGAGGAGAGGGGGCAGCAAGGCTTGCTGTAGTGTGGTTTTCCCCGTTAGGTGACAGCCAGCTTTACTTGTGAGAGGTAATTCCTGGTGTGAAAACCTAAACTTACAGAAATTCAGTTAGGGATCTTGATTGGGCTTTATTTTATTTTATTTTTAATTATTTTGTTTATTTTGAGACATTTTTTCCATCTTATTTTTTTAATTTTAAATTTTTTTATTCTAATTTGTTATATGACAGCAGAATGCATTACAATTCATATTATACATATAGAGCACAATTTTTCATATGTCTGGTTGTATAGAAAGTATGTTCACACCATTCGTGTCTTCATACATATCCTTAGGGTTTGATTGGCTTTATTTTTGACTTTAGAATTGTACCCTACTTCATTCCACAGACTAAGTGTGCCAACCTGGCAGAAGAGGTTAGCATGATAGATAGAGAAGGGGAATGAGGCAGAAACAAAAGAACAAAAAGTRGATTCTTTTCTCTGTGGTATTGGGAGACAGCGCAATAAGAAAGGAATTGGCTAGTTAAGTTCAGGTTATTTCAGGTTACAAAAGTGTAACAATTAAAGCTAGGGAGCTTCATTATCATGCCCATTGAAACTGGCCTATTTGGGAATTTTTGCTGTTATCTTTTTAATCCTGATGAACTGAAAGTTCACATAAACCTTAGCTTTAGGTGGTTGACATGGAACACTARCATGTGGGACTTGATGTTGGTTTTTAGCCTGGTCTTTTTGGGACCCAGTGCAGGAGCTTAGTCAGAAACAATAGCCTTCTGTCCCTTCAATTCATCACTGGGACGGTCAGGAAAGTGGTGAAGGGATCACAGTCATTAGATCAGCACTTCCTGTGGGCCAGGCTCTGCTGGATGAACTCAGGGACAGCTGGGTTYGGGTCCCACTCAGCCTGACCTTTCTGGCTTTACTTTGCTGAAGGAAGCCAAAACATGGAGTAGCACAGCACCCCCAGCATTCACTCAGCACAGGTTGTCACCCTTTGGTGGACACTGTTGATAATGTATTCTCTGATAGCATTAGCCAAGTCCCATCACAGCCTCAAGTCCCTCTTGGTACCACCAAATGGCTTCCTTTAAGGAGTTCTTTCCTTCTTCCCTTTACTTTATATATATATATATATAATTTTTTTTAATATTTATTTTTTAGTTGTAGTTGGTTGGACACAATACCTTTATTTTATTTATTTTTATGTGGTGTTGAGGATCGAACCCAGGGCCTCGAATGTCCTAGGCGAGCACTTTACTGCTGARCCACAGCCTGAGCCCTCCTTCTTTCCTTTATATTCGAATTCTTACAGTGGACTTGAAGCGCTTCTGAAAGCAGCATGATTTAAAAGGCCACCTTAGTAAGTGCACCTGTTTTTTTAATATTACTGCAAGTGTGACAGGCAGCCTGAGTTGCTGCAGCTTGGTTGGTACCTTGTACCCTTCGTACCACCAGGGAGTGGTTGTACTAAAATACAAAAAGGCAGATGACAATGGAGTGGCATCCAAGAATGTTTGTTTTTCCCTTGCAATTTTTAGCTAAATCTGGTCAGAGACAATGGGTGGGCTCCGTGAAAGCCCTGTTGCTGAGGAACAGAATGGACTCTTCAGCAGACACCTGTGCCTGGTTCCAGCAGGACAGATGCTGCATGGCTCCCTCAGCCTGTGCACTTTTTATATAGATATACATTCATTCATTCATTATTTATTTTTATATGGTGTCGGATGGAAATCAGTGCCTCACACATGTGAGGCAAGTGCTCTACCACTGAGCCCCAGCCCCCAGCCCGTGCACATCAATCTACTTAAAGGTCATGTGACTGCCTGGAATAACCAACCCCATCGAAAATTAGAAAGCAAGGAATATCCCTTGAAATGTACCCTTCACACACCTCCTCCACCTCCACCCCTGGAAAACCAGTGATTTATTTGCTGAAATTCTGGTAAATAGATTCTTAATTATATTTTAGTGAAGTTACTATTAAGTTTGAATTTTAAATATAAAAYATAAAAATTTAGAGCATTAATATTGAAGTTAATATTAATTTGAGTTTGCATTATAGGTATGGCTGCTTGAATTAAGTTGATTTTTTTTTTCTTTTCTTTCTTTTTTSTTCGTTAACGAAAAAAAATTTCCTCCAAGTATTAGAATACATGCTAACAAAAGAGTCTGAATTCTTTTTCCGACTAGATCTCTTTTTGCTAAATTGGTTGCSTGTTTCACCACAGTTAGGAATGTGGTTGTGTTGTACTTGTATGTGAATATTGGGATTGAGATGTCTGATTGACAAGGTCTCTTGTGTCCATGGGCAAGGGAACTATTGGGAGCCTCTTTTTACTGTTGTCATTGCCCCTGGAGCATGAGATTTTGGGGCAAGAGGAGATAGGGAATGAAAGGAATTATTACTATTTTATTTCATGCTGTTCTGTGCTTCTTTATTACTTTTTWAATATATATTTATTTTTTAGTTATAAATGAACGCAATATCTTTATTTTTATGTGGTGCTGAGGATTGAACCCAGTGCCACATGCATGCTAGACGAGCACTCTACCTCTGAGCCACAACCCCAGCTCTTCTTTATTACTTTTTAAGCTTGTGTTTTTCTTATAATTCATGAAGGAAAGTCRTTCATGACTTTAGGCAGTAATGTTGACCAGAAGTTCATTATTTTTCTGGCATACCTAGGAAGAAGGATTAGAAAGTCCTAAGGAGAGGAGGACGCTTCTCCTTCTCCTGGGGATTGAGTGTTTCCGAAGAAGCCAGCAGTTGCCATCTTGTTTTGGAATATTTGGATGTAAATACTGGGCATTAGGTCTTGTCATTTATCTCTTTGACTTTTTAAAACATCCTTTGCTGATTATTTAACCTCAGGTGAGATTAAAGTGAACTTCCGTTTTATATTTCTTTTTACTGCTTAGTGGTTTTCAAAGTTCCAGAGCATTATTTTCTTGTTTTAGAAAATTTGAGTAGTTCCAAAAGAACAGATAATGCTTACCACCTGGAGGTAGCTGCTGGTTAATACTTGAGTGTGTTCATTCTGACATTTCTCCATGGGATTTATATCTACAGGGCCTGCAGTGGGATCATACTATGTGATTTTGCTTTTTTAATATCTGCTCAAGTGTTCCATCTTAAGTGTGACAGGCCTGGCATAGATCTGTCAGTCTGGGGGACTGGACTGTGCCGTCCTTCTATCTGCTTACTGTCTCTCCTCCTGTCTTGCAGTGGACGAGTACATTGCCATCGCCAAGGAGAAGCATGGGTACAACATGGAGCAGGTATGCGTGTTTTCCTTGCTGTTGTTGAAAGTAGTTTCTGAGGCCACTCCATCAGGAGGCCTTCTGTGTGCTCAGTAACAGCGTTGCTTCACTGGCAGTGATCAACGCCACAGACTCAGGCCGCTTTCTCCTATCCACAGAGTCTTTGATTTGGAGGTGGCTGTACAGGCTGTGCACTTCTGCAGGTCTGTAGCCTTGGGGCAGTGGTTACCACCTGGTCASTAGGGGGATCATTGCTGGGGCGCAGCATTTTCTCCTTGGATTATGTCATTCTTCTGCATCTGAGATGTTGTTTTCAGACTTCTGATGCCACACACAAACCCATAGTGTTTTATATTCGTTGGTGGGAGTCACTTTCCGGTTATAAACCCTTGATATCATTTAGAATATTGGTAAAAAGTGTTTTTCTACAAAAGTGTAATGGTAATCTTATTTTATTCTTACATCTAATTACTGTTTTAAACATATTAATTGGGGTCAGTGCTTCCCATGGCATTGACCTGGCTCTTAACTGCCTGTAAATTACTAGCACTTCCCATTTATACTAACGATCAAASGCACCATGAGTTTAGGGTATGCAGAATTATACATTTTTCTTTAGGTTTGGCATTACTTTTAATTAATTAAAGGTATTTTTAGAAAAGTCACATTAGAGCCAGGTGTGGGGCCCACACCTGTAACCCCAGCTACTCAGGAGGTGGGATGATAGCAAGTTCCAGGCCAGCCTCAGCAATTTAGTGAGACCCTGTCTCAAAAGATAAAACAGGCTGGGGGTGTAGCTCCATGGTAGARTACCCTGGGTTCAATTTTCAGAATCCCTCACTTCTCCCAAATGAGCATTTAGCATGATCATTTTCACTTTACAATTGCAATAAGGGCCTGGGTGAGGTGGTGTACACCTGTAATCCCAGTGGCTCGGGAGGCTGAGGCAGACGGATCGAGTGCAAAAACCAGCCTCAGCAATCTAGTGGGACCCTGTCTCAAAATGAAAAACATAAAAAGGGTTAAAAGGGGCCGGGGCTGTAGCCCAGTGGTCGAGCACTTGCCTAGCACGGTGAGGCACTGAGTTAAATCCTCAGCACTAATTAAAAAGAAATAAATCAAATAAAGGTATTGTGTCCACCGACAACTAAAAAAAAGATTGTAAAAGAAAGGGAGGGGGCTGGGAATGTGGCTCAGTGGTAAAATGCACCTGGGTTCAATCCCCAATACCAGTTAAAACAAACAACAACAACAACAAATAGATAGATAGATAGATATATAGATAGATAGATAGATAGAAAGAAAGGCAAGAAAATGATGTGAGAACAAAATGGAAATGTTAATGTTAAGATAAAACCTAAAATGAAATTTAAGAAGAACTCTGGAGCTAAAAATTATCATAACTGAAATGATGAATTCACTTGAAGGATTCAAAGATTTTGAGCAGGCTGAAAAATCAGTGAATTTCAAGATAGAACAATTTAAATGAATTGAGTTTGAAAAGAAAAAAGGTTTAAGAAGGGTGAACAGAACCCAAGGGCCCTGAGGCCATCATCAAGAAGAGCCACCTAAGTACCTGGGTGTTCAGGAGATGAAGAGAAAGCACTGAGGACAGAATTGTTGATGAAATCATGGCCCAAACTTTACAAAGCTGCTGGAAGACATGAATATAAATATCAGAGCAACTGAGAAGTCAGATAAGAAAACTCCTGCTCATGAAACTCAAAGACAAAGGTGAAAGTAGCAAGGGGGCAGCCACCTGGCAGGTGCGCACGACTGCAAAACAATCATTTTTCTCCTCAGAAACTCTGCAGTCCCAGAGACGGGGGCTAATGAATGCATTCACCATTCTGAGAGAGAAACTTGTCAACCAAGATCCTGTGTCAGACAAATGTCCCTCAAAAATGTGAAGGAGTGAGGACATTCACAGATAAGAAAAAGGAGTTCATTACCACTAGATCTGCCTGTGGGTGGGGGAATGAAGGGACATCAGCCAGGTGTGGTAGCACATCCTGGCATTCCAGGGACCCAAGAGGCTGAGGCCAACCTCAGAAACTGAGCCAGACATGGTCTCAAACAAAAAGGCAGGGGTTATAAGTTTGTGGTAGAGCTACCACCTGGAATCAAGAGAAAGTGGGGAGAGGAAAGAAGAGAGGAGGAGAGAGGAAGGAAATTAATACTCTGTGATTTAGCAGTTCCACTGCCGGGTATGTACACAAAGAATCGGAACCAGGATCTCAAACCTATATACCCATTCACAGCAGCTAAAATATGGAAGCAGCCCACATACCCAACTGGTGAACAAATATGCAAAATATGGTTTGTACTTACGATGGAGTATTATGCAACCTTAAAAAGGAAGTATGCTATAGTATGATGAACCTTGAGGACAGGATGCTATGGAAAATAAGCCAGTTGCCAAACGACACACACTGCATGAGTCTCCTTAGGAGAGCCTAGAGCCCAAAAACAACATGGACAGAAAGTGGAATGGTGATTGCTAGGGCTGGAGGAGGAGGTATTGACAAGGGGTTATGGTAGAGTTTCAGTTTCAGATGAGAAGAGTTGTGGAGATGGGTGGTGGGGATAGTTGTACCACAGTATGGTTGTTGTGTTCAGTGACATTGTACACTTAGAAGTGGTTACAGTGATAAATTTCATGGTATGTGTATTTTATCACAATAAAAACTTGGAGTGGAGCCACTTCCAGGGTTTTAAGATGCAGAGAACTACTGATCTGTAAAATGGCAGATAATGAAAAAAATTGTGACTAGATGGGTAACAGTGAGCAAGGAACAACATAATCAAAATTTCACAGACTCCTCTTCAGTCAGTGAAGAGGAGGAACTGGGAAGACAGAAAATTGTCCTGTGGTGATGGACACTCATTACCTTGTGGAATTTTTCTCTGTGAAAATGCATCATCTTCGGGCTGGGGCTGTAGCTCAATGCTAGAGTGCTTACCTAGCATGTGTGAGGCACTGGGTTCGATCCTCAGCACCACATAAAATAAATAAATAAAACATAGATATTAAAAATAAATAAATAAAATAAAGGTATTATGTCCATCTACAACTAAAAAAAAAGATTTTTTAAAAAACGCATCATCTTGAAGGAATGGACCTCAAAATCATGGCACTGTCAAAGCATTGTTGTCTTTTTTACTGCTGCTTGCTGTGCTTATAGGTGCAAATGATTTTGAAGGAAAACACCAACAGCATGTGCCATGTGTGGAGACAATTCCTTTTGTGTGCCAACTGAGTAGGCTTATGAATTGTGTCTTCTCTTGGGCTTGGGACAACTGCACACCTTTTTGCTTTCTCTGAGCCCACATATAGTTCAGTTACATTAGCTGGTTGTGAACAACTCAGCTAATTTCCTGAGCCACCTATTCTGGTCCCGTGGTTTGCCCAGATGAAGAGTGCTCTGAAGGAGCCATCTCTTTGTGGATAATCATCTCAGAAAGTTCTACATATGGGGTCTTGGGCACAGCATTTGGAGAGATGCCTCCTTATTTCATAGCAAGGGCAGCTCACTTCTCAGGTGGTGAGCCAGATGATGAAGAGTGTCAGGGATTTGAAGAGATGCTGGAATATGCAGAGACTGCACAAGACTTTGCCTCSAAGGCCAACCTGGCAGTTCAACTCCTAGTACAGAAGAGTGGATTGTTTTGAAATGTTGGCCTACACTTCAATTCCTAACATTCTGTTTGATCTGACTGGAATAACATGGACATTTTCTTGGACCTTTTTGAACCTTCTTTGGTGCAACTCTGATTGGGAAAACAGTGATTAAAAGAAATATTCAGAAACTCTTTGTTTTACTAACATGCAGCAAGCACATAATGGAGCAGCTGGTGGCTTTCATTGGTGCTGTCTCCAGCATAGGTGTGTCTCTGCAGAAGTCCTTCTGGGAAAACCTGGAGCTGCAGAAGCAGAATGGGTTTTCTCTCCGCAGAGAGAAAACCGGTTATCCTGGTTTTTCAGCCTATCAGGGTACAAGGTTAGGCCAAACAGTGGTTGAACTCAGAGGAGAAAAATAAATAACCAGAGAAAGTTTTTTTTTTTTTTAAAGATTTTATTTATTTATTTATTTATCTATTTATTTTTTTAGTTCTCAGCAGACACAACATCTTTGTTTGTATGTGGTGCTGAGGATCGAACCCGGGCCGCACGCATGCAAGGCGAGCGCGCTACCGCTTGAGCCACATCCCCAGCCCCGAGAGAGAGAAAGTTTTTAACTGCAGAAATTAGAATATATGGATTCTGCCTTTAATCAGGAGGACTCCAAACCAGGAAGGAGAATTCCCTTTTCTAGCTGTATTAAAACTTTACAGAAAGCACACTAGTCCATATTTTGCATTGGCGTGCTTTCCTTTATATGTAGATCAGTCCACCTTGTCATTGTTTTAGGGCAGACTGCAGTGTTCAGCTGAAAACCAACAGAAACTTGCCTTCCTTTAGTTATATTCAGAAGGCCCACATGGTACAGTTAAGTGAGTTCACACCACACCCAAAGTATGTTAAATTTGCCAAACTACTAAGGCTTGTCATAAATGATTGCTTTGTTTTTCTAAGTCATCAAAATRTATGTAAATTATAGATTGGATAACAGTCAAACTTTTTATGCCAGCCTGCCCCTGCCTGCCTCTTCACCCTCACAAAAAGGCCTTTGTATGATCTATTGTACACCTTCTGGCAAGTTGGTCTTTAAATTTTGAGACAGTATAAGGAATATCTCATTAGTGTCTCATTTTTTTTGTTTCGTATTTGTAGAAGTCATGGGAAAACTTTATAAAAGACATCTTTGAATATTGAAAAAAAAGTGGGGGAAATGCGGTGTATGACAATATCTTCTACTTAGCAGTATATATGAGTCAAGCATGTATTTGTCTAGATTTAAAGTCATGCATGTTCTTCTTTTGCCAGTCTGACTTCCATTTTAGTGTTTCATTCACTCCATTTGTGCGGTCTAAGATTTCACTGGTATCATTTTTCTAGGCTCTTGGAATGCTCTTTTGGCATAAGCATAATATTGAAAAATCATTGGCTGATTTGCCCAACTTTACCCCCTTCCCAGATGAGTGGACTGTGGAAGATAAAGTCTTATTTGAGCAAGCCTTTAGTTTTCATGGGAAAACTTTTCATAGAATCCAACAAATGGTAAGTAGATGAGACCACTGACACCCCCTCACCCCCTGTCAAAGAGTATAAATGAATGATTAGGGCCTCATCCTATAGGACAAATATCCCCATGTTCAATCAAGCTGCCTTCAGAGGCAGAAACATCCTAGTGATGCTTTGTGGGTGTCGGGCTTCATTGCAGAAGTGAGGCTGTTCCTAGCACTTCCAGCTCTCAGATGGAACTCAGCTGCCTCCCATCTCAGAAGTTAAACCAACAGAAGGATCTCTGGTGATTGAGGTGGAGCGAGCTGGGTCCTTATTTTTCTGCGTGGGGAATATTTGCATATCTTTTACATTTAGAAGTTATTTGGTAGATTCCTRTTTAAAAGCTTGCTTGACATTTGTATTAATCGTGTTAAAATGAACTTTAAAAAATTAAGCTAAAAGATGTGCTAAGGACATTGGTTCTGTGAAAAACGGTTCACCTTAGTCTAACTTCACAATCTTTCATTGGCCAAGCCYACTCACAGGCTTCAGTAATTTGTAAATGCATTGCATTGAAAGTGCATTTTGTCAATTATTTTTCCTTACCGGAAAAATGGGCTGTGTCTTAGGACATTTCTGAATATGTGAGTGTTTAGTGTTTTGTTAAATATAACTAAACATGTTTGGGTTTTTAAAGATTGGCTTTAAGTCTAAACCAATTCTTCTTTGTATTTAGCTTCCTGATAAATCTATAGCAAGTCTGGTGAAATTTTATTACTCTTGGAAGAAGACAAGAACCAAAACCAGTGTGATGGATCGTCATGCCCGGAAACAAAAGCGAGAGCGAGAGGAGAGGTGAGCCTGCTGCTGGGGTGAGGGGTCATCCAACCACCCAGAGGGAAGGTGGGAGGGCTGTGCCTTCAGCCAGAGGCAGGTGACATGTGCTATTGGAGCACTCCTCCTCGGGCACTCTGCCTCACCATCCTGCTTGCTGGCAGTGAGTGGGCTTTGATTTTGAGTGCGTGGACTTTATCATATTTTTTTCCCCTACCCTTAAAAGATGGTTCCTTCTAATAGAAAGGGATCTTTYGTTTTATAGGTTGAAATTAATTTGGTATGATAATTCAAGATTTATTTGTGTGTATTTGGTTTGTTTAAAGAGCATACAGCTTAATAAAGGTAGTTCTAAGAGAAAAGTTTATGGGTTAWGAGTGCCTACAGAAATAAATCAGAAAGATTNCCTACAATAAACAAATGTTTTTTTAAAGAAAATATGGTATAAAAGTCTTATCCAGCCATAAAGAATTATGAAATTATGGCATTTGCTGGAAAATGGATATAACCTGAGGTCATCATTTTAAATGAAATAAGCCAAACATTGAGCACAGAGTGTCATTTTTGGAGAATTCAAATCTCTGGGCCTGAGTGTAAATTGAGAGTGGAGTTAACTATGTTTTCTCATGTGGAACCTAGAGGGAAAAAAGGAAAAGAAAGATTATGGGGAGGGATCTCATAAAAATTCTAGATCAGTACAACAGAAGAAAGGGACCATGGGAGGGAAAAGGGGAGGGAGGGAGGAAGTGGGGGGTGATGTTGTCCAAATTGTGTGCATGTAAAAACATGTAACAACAGATACTATCATTATTAGTACAACTATAATGCACCAATTTAAAAAATGGAAAAAAAATTAAACCGATAAACAAAAAATAGTTTACTTCCTCTTTCTTTTATTGTCCATTATGTGTAAGAATGAGAAGTACTTTTTTTCCCCCATGTGTTGGGGGTGGAACTCGGTCAGGCTCTAACATGCTAGGCAAGCCTAGACACTGAGCCACACCAGCCAGGTATTATTCTAGATAGCTCATTAAGCTGCAGTAAGTAAGGGTGTGCTGAGTTAAGCTGTGTAGGACCATCTCCTCTCAGCCTCTTCCCCAAGCCTGTGTCCTCAACTGTGAACTGAAAAGGCTTGAGGCCCAGAAAGCAGTGCACACAAGGCTCTTCTCTTAGAATGATGGGACTACATGGAGGCTTTTAAAAAATTATATTTCCCACATTTTCTAGAGTATATTTTCATAAACTAATAATAAAAAATAAAATGGAAAATGAACTTTATGGTACCCAAACTTTCTTCTCAGGATAGTATTATTTTAAATGAAAAGAGAGTATCATACAAGAATACAGTGTCATTTTTGGAAAATTCAAATCTCTAGGCCTGAGGGTAAATTGAGAGTGGAGTTAAGAACATCTCTAAGGCTCTTTCCAGATATGAGATTCAAGCCACAATAAAACTGCTGACCTGGGTACATCTGCATATTCTTGGACATTCATACCAGTGAATGTCCATTTAGGGGTCACTAATCTTAGTTTTTTTTTTTTTTAAATTTTCATTTCCTTCATATGTTAGGTCTAGTGTATTATTTATAAATGGGGTCTGGCATCACAATCAGCAGTCAGAGTTAAGTAGAGTGAATTGCTTATCTTGAGTAAGACATGGGAGCACTGGCTGACACTTGTCTGTGCTCACTGCCCAGGTGCTGTTCCTTGTATTATGCTGTAGGTGGCAAGAATTGCTGTGCTCTCCTGCCCCTCTCTCGCACCGCGATGGGGGCACACAGCCACAGCAGTTGCACCTGAGAGGTGGCTAACCTCCCAAGGGACCTGCCTGTGAAGTAGTGGCAGAGTCTGGGCATGTTCCCTCAACCCCAGGCTCTTCTCACACACTCCCCTCTGCCAGAACTGCTTGAAGCCTTGGCACTGGCCGGGAAGGGGTTGCAGGATAGTGGGTGTGTTCAGCTGGGGTGGATTCTGGAGGTCCAGTGGGAGGAATTGAAGCCTAGTATCCTGCCGTCACCAGTCTTCTGTCGGTTTTCACTGGACAAATCAGGCGTGCTGCTTGACTTCCATGAGACTCATTTTTAAAAAAAAAATAGAGTTCCTGTGATGTGCAGTGGCTCATGCCTGTAATTATCTTTTTTTAATGTATATTTTTTTAGTTGTAGGTGGACACAATACCTTTATTTTATTTGTATGTGGTGCTGAGGATCAAACCCAGTGCCCGATGCGTGCCAGCCAAGTGCTCTCCCTCTGAGCCACAGCCCCAGCCCTCACGCCTTTAATCTTAGGCACCCAGGAATTTAAGGCAGTAGGATGGCAAGTTCAAGGCCAACCTCAGCAACTTATGAAGACCCTGTCTCAAAATAAAAAGGGCTGGGGATGTGCTCAATTGTAAAGTGCCCTTGGGGCCCATCCCTGGTGCCACAAATCAATAAATATGTTTCTCAGCAGTCTGAAAACATATAGTAATTTTATATGAAGTTTTCCATTAAATCAATTTATAGCTATGTTTGTACATGAAATAGCATTAATATAGAATAACCTTTCCTTAACTTGTTCTTGTCTTCCAGTGAGGATGAACTTGAAGAAACAAATGGAAGTAACCCCATTGACATCGAGGTTGATCAAAATAAGGAAAGCAAAAAGGAGGTATTTTTTCTCCTAGTACTTGTTTAGGGAAATAAACATATTACTACTTACACAGATAAAACCCTCCTCTCACCCATTCTACTTAGGATATTAATTGGATTTTTAAAACAGTACCAACTCTGCTTTATAGAACTTAGAATTTTGTTTGCTGGGAATCCTGAGTAAGGAAGCCTTACAGGAAAAGCTAGTGTTGACCAGTGGGGCTCATTTTGGTACAGTCCTCAAGCCCTCTCTGAGGAGGCTAGCAGGTGGTGGCAGGGAGGCTGGGCTGCACCAAGCATCTCCTCCTGGCCCTCCTGTCTGCTGTTTGCCTAGGATCTGCCCAGGCTCTGACCATGCTAGATCCTAAGGTGACTGAAGATACCTCAGGGAGCTGACATGGACTCCATGTGTCCTTGTCAGTCAGCAGCAACAGCACAATCCTGGGGTCGTTGCTTAATCTCTCCTAGCTTAAAAGTCATTACACAGGGGCTGGGGTTGTGGCTCAGTGATTAAGCACTCGCCTAGGATGTGTGAGGCCCTGGGTTCGAACCTCAGCACCGCATAAAAATAAATAAAATAAAGGTATTTTGTCAAACTATAACTAAAAAATAATTTTTTTTTTAAAGTCATTAAATTAGGCTGGGGTTGTGGCTCAGTGGTAGAGTGCTCACCTAGCATGCACGAGGCACTGGGTTTGATCCTCAGCACCACATAAATAAAGATATTGTGTCCACCTAAAACTTAAGAATAAATATTTTTAAAAAGTCATTACACAATAGATTTGTAGTCCCCAGATTCAAGGGATCCACAAGCCCCTACAGTTGTATATGACCTTTACATGTTTCATATGGGTATATGAAGCCTAAGGCGTCAGAATTCCCAAGTGTTCTCTATCCCTAAAAATATAAGAACAGTTATCTTAAACATTGAAAAGCCCAGAGGACTAGACATCTCTAAACTTTATGTCAGAGCAGTAGTACATGCTTTTTATAGACAAAATAGGAAAATACAGGTAAACAAAGACAAGAAAATTAAAGTGATTTTCAGTATTATCACCTATAATTGCTGCAGACATTTTAGTGACTTTCTAGACTTCTTTSTCTGTGAAACACACAGGCCCATGTTTATATATACTTCTGAATCTATTCAATTTTTAAAATAATAAAGGAGGCTGGGTGTGGTGACACATGCCTGTGATCCAAGCAACATGGGAGGTTGATGCAGGAGGATTGCAGGTTTGAGACCAGCCTGGACAACTTATTAAGACCCTGTCTCAAAAAATCAAACAGACYRGGGATGTAGCTGAGTGGTAGAGTGTCCCCCAGGTTTTATCCCCACTACTGAAAAAATAGTAATAATTTTAATAAACTTAAAAAGTGGTAAAAAATATGTATTTTTAACCACTTTTTAAGTTTATTCTACCTTGAATTGTTTTTATGTCAAATATATTTGACACATGGCTATACAGTACTAATTCTATGATGCCTTTGGCATGGAGCTCGTTCATGGTGGGTGGGTTCCTCGTGTCCTCATTCCCCTGCTCTTTGCTATTAAACACAGTTGAGTTTTGATGGTCATGTAACTGTGTGTTTAATATTTTCTGCTAGAATAATTCCTGGAAGCAGAAATGTTATGTTAAAGTGTTCCATGTGCATTTTTATGGTTTCTGTCACTATATATCACCACACAAGCTATCTGTCATTCTTTCTGGGTGGCACTTTTTAGCAGTGATTGTTAGGCCTGCCCAAATAACAAGATTCCAGGGGCTAACTGAAGTAGTTTGTTTGGGAAAGGAAAGTGTACTTGAACTTTTTATAAAAGCCTAAGTGGAACATTTTTTTTTTAAATAAAAGGAGCATTTTAATTCTTGTTCTTAGAAACTATAAAGACTATGTACATGATTCAGAAATGGGACTGTACCAAATAGTGGTCAAAGAAGGATCGTCCACTCTATGCCTCTTCTTTTGTATGGTCATTCAGAAATATGTTATCAGCTGTGATTGTTGTTGCGTGTTGCCTCATGCTATATTTTTAAAGTAACTTTTTAATTGTAGATGAACACAAAATCTTTATTTATTTATTTATTTATTTTCATGTGGTGCTGAGGATCATACCCAGTGCTTCACACGTGCTAGGCAAGTGCTCTTCCACTGAGCTACAGCCCTAGCCYATTGCCTCACGTTATTTTTATCCACGTATTCACCATAGTCTACCTTTTCTTCCACATAAATTCAGGACCCATTTTTTACATATTGATATGCCACATCTCTAAGGTCTGGCCAGAAAGAACACTGATATTCCATGACATGTTGTCTTTTGGCTAATGTCACCCATTTGATATTCTTTATTCTCCCCTGATCGACACATCTCATTCATTGCTAGACAGTGCTTGTTACTGGATTTTCCCCTTCTGCCTGTCTCAGGACAGGGTTCTGACCTACTTACCCAAGTAACTGCACATGATCTTTCAAGAACCACACTGCTGGCTATTTCAGACTCATGTCTTATAAACTGATGAAGTACCTATAATACAGGTCTTCAAACCTGGCTTCTATTTTCTTTTTTAAAATCTAAACTTTTAGTTTCTCCTGATGCGCTAGCCTGGGCAACCTCTACTCAGGGGCTAGAACATTTTTAATGAATGAGAATAGTCTTGATTTTATATCAGTTTCCATAATTTATGTATATATAGCACAATTTCCAACTCAAAAACTAAGTATAACATGTTATACACATGTTATTACAACATGTCCTTAGTCATTAGGTAGTCTTCATCAAATAGCATAGTGCCTTACAGAACATCATTTACAGCCTTCTAACACTTACTACCATTTTCAAGAAGTCACCGTCACCATCACAGTTTGCATTGTCATTTTAGCTCACTCTTTTGAAATATAAAGCAAAGCCAGGCATGGTGGCACACTCTTGTAATCCCAGTGGCTTGGGAGGCTGAGGCAGGAGGATCATAAGTTCAAAGCCAGCCCCAGCAATTTACTGAGGCCCTAAGTAACTCAGTGAGACCCTGTCTCTAAGTTAAATGTGGAAAAGGGCAGGAGATGTGACTCAGTGGTCATGCYCCCCTGGGTTCAGTCCGTAGTACCGAAAAGTGTGATAAAACACAAAGCAAAAAGCCCGAACATGTTTTTACTTGGATCACTGTAYATTACCCCAGCAAGTTGGGGTTACAAACAATTGTAGAAACTTACTGTTTTTAATATGGTTGCCAGTAAGACACGGATTCTTTTGAAACTTGCCAGGATTTTGTGTTTCTAAAAAAATTAGCAACAGTCCTGTGTTTTTAAGTAATAGCACATATCTTTTTAGAGCAAGTTTTATGACTTGATCTAAAAACGAAGTGTCACCCCCAAAATTTTTTTAAATGTAGAAAAAGTTATAGTTCATATTGTAGTTGTCCTCCCTTCCTCCTCATGCACATCAGGCAACTGGACCACCAATGAGCTCGATCCCCAGCCTATGGAAGTTTCTTTCCTAATTGAAATTTTTAAAGAATTAAGGATGTTTACATGTGCTGAAGCATTTTTTTCTTTCTGTGGTCATATGGCTACTGCATTACTAGAGACAGCTGCTGGGATGAAAGAGCTCCCTCTTCCTTTACCTGTCTGTCATACAGGTAAATGTCTAGGTGGCTGCAGAGCTCAGAAGAGAAGAATACATTTTTTTTCCCTGTGTTACTACAGAAAGCTGAGAATGCTTATTATCAGAGACTTAAAGAAATGGGATAAGGAAGTCTCTGTTCAAAAAGGAAACAGAGGGGCTGGGGATGTGGCTCAAGCAGTAGCNATGATGCATCTCAAGGCCCCTGAAAAGAACAAACCAATTTTAAGACTAGTAGAAGGAAATCAATGAGATTGAGAATAAAAAAGCAATACAAAGAATCAATGAAACTAAGAGTTGGTTTTTGAAAAGAAAAGATTTTAAGCCCTTAGCCAAACCAACAGAAAAAAAAAGAGAAGACCCAAACTAATAAAATTAGAGATGAAAAAGAAGTCACCATAGACATCACAGAAATCGAGTGGATCATTAGAAACTATTTTTGAAAACTTAAAGTATAAGTTTTCCAATAAATTGGAAAACCTAGAAGAAATGGCTACATTTCTAGACATGTATGATCTGCCAAAATTGAATCAGGAGAATGTAAAAAACCTTAACMGACCAACAACCAGCAGTGARATAGAAGCAGYAATAAAAAGCCTTCCAAAAAGAAGCCTAGGACCAGWTGGATTCTCAGCTGAATTCTACCAGACCTTTAAAGAAGAACTGATGCCAGTGCTCCTCAAATTATTCCATGAAATAGAAAGAGATGCAACCCTTCCATATTCATTCTATGAAGCCAGTATCACACTCACATCAAAGTTAGATAAGGACACACCAAGAAAGAATACTCCAGACCAATATCCCTGATAAGCTTAGATGCAAAAATCCTTAATAAAATATTAGAAAATTGTATTCAATGAAATAMTAAGATTGTACATCATGTCCAAGTTGGTTTCATCCCAGAGATGCAAGGTTGGTTTAACATAATGCAAATCAATATCATAAAGGCTATGTACAAAAAAACCCAAAGCAACCCCATAGTAAATCAGGATAAACTGAAAGCATTTCCTTAAATCTAGAATAAGACAAGGACATCTATTCTCACCATTCCTACTTAATGTCATGCTAGAAATTCTAAACAGAGCAGTTAAGCAAGAGAAGGAAATAAAAGAGATAAAAATAGGAAGAAATAAAATTATCACTCTTTGCAGAAGATTATGATCCTATACTGAGAAGTTTAACAAACCAATTCAAAAAAAGTAGCAGGTTATGAAACCAACATACAAAAATCAATAGCCTTTCTATATACCAACCAACAAATCTGCCAAGAAAGAAATAATAAAAATAATCCCATTTACTAAAGCCTCAAAAGAAAAACATAGGAATAAATCTAACCAAGGAAGTAAAAGACCTACAATTAAAACTATAAAACATTGAAGAAAGAAATTGAAGAACACCTCAAA